GCATGATAGAAGGTTCCCACCTTGAAAGCATCATTGAAACCATGATTGGGACACCTCAGGAAAAGGCTGTTGTATCTCTCCCAAGCGTCCCGGATGGTCTCATCTTCATCCTGGGTGAAGTGGTTAATCTGCTTCTGCAAGTCCGCCGTCTTGGACGGAGGATGGTAGCGTGTAAGGAACTTGTCCGCCAGGTTGGCGAACGTGGTGATGGATCCCGGAGGTCGAGTGTCTAGCCACTCCTTGGCATGCCCCTCCAAGGTGAATGGGAAGTACCTCAGCTGGATGGCATTTGCTGGGACCCCATTGATCTTGATTCCATCGATGAGCTCGTGGAATCGCCTGAGATGTGAACGAGGGCACTCCCCCTCTCTACCACGGAACACCACTGAACCGTGCAGCATGGTGATTACTGAGGTGCTCACCTCAAAATTGTTGGCTGGGACATGAGGATGCTGAATGGGTGACCTCATGTCCGCAGCTCTAGCGGTCCAGTAGGATCCCATGGTCTGCTCCTCGGGATCGACCACATCATGGCCCTGTGGATCAGCCATCTCCTCTTCTTCAGTGATCTGTAGCTGTGCTAGCGCCTCCTCCGCAGCCAGTCGCGCCTTTAGAGCCCGCTTGAAGTTTCTGCAGGTTCGTTCAAGCTCCTGGTCTAGTGGTAGTAGATCTCCCGACTGGCTACGGGTCATGCACTACCTGCACACAATCAGCAGAAGCAACCCGTGAAGGCACACAGGTGGAAGAGATAAAATGCATTAAATAAAAAGCTAGAGTAACAAATTCTCACGTTTCCCCAATAACCTAGAGGGGCCCCGGCAACGGCGCCAAAAACTTGACACGATAAAACACAACACCAATCTGCGACCAAGTGTAATCGCAGACCGGGAATGCAGTAACAGGCAAGTTATATTATCAACCCGGGGTCTAGGTCTACTGCTTACTCAGTGATTCTCTATTATCTAGCCAACTAAAGTATGTGATTGTTGTTTAAAAGCAAAAGCAGAAAGAAAGCAGGAAATTATTCGGTTTTCTCAAGCAGGTAAGAGTCACTCGGGAATGAATCCCCCTAGCTCCTTAGTTAGGTTTCAATTGTATTTCCCTGGGTTGATTTACTGTTGATTAGACTGCGGAAGATCCGACAGTAGCTTGGAATCTCTTAAGTTGACCAAGCCCTCTCAGTCTAACTACCCGGCAGACGACTAGTCTTCACCGGGATAGAAAGCTGAAGCAGTAAGAACAGAACTCCACTACTGGAATTGGATTCCAGTACAAAGCAGTAAACTGGCTAACTCTCGTATAGCCAATCTCCTACTATCGAATGATGAGACTCTAACAACCTAATCAGATTCTATTTATCTCAGATTGCAGCAGGAATCAGGAAAAGTTGATCAGACTTCAATTGACTCAATAAACATGCATCATTCGATTAAAATCAAACAGTAATATCATCCCAAGTCATTACAATCAATCCCTAACACATAGAACTAGGGTTCTTCATCCCCAAGTGAGAGAGGGGTTCTACTCCATAGAGAGAGAGGAAAACAAGATACAAAGCAGTCATACTCATACTGATGGGAAGAATCTGCTCTGGGATGATGATTTCCACTCCTATGACGATCTCCAAGCTTGATTTGATGAAACCCAGCTCCAAGATGGCTTCTAGGATGTGTTCTTCGTCCTTTCTCTCTCTAGGGCTCTGTTTTTGCTCTAAAAGTCCGATTCTCTCTCTTGCAGCCCGGAATTGGGTTAAAACCAGGAAATCCCGACTCACACGGGCAGGGCCACACGGCCGTGTGGCATACCCAGTTGCCCGTGTGAGTCAAAACGCTGCGTTCCACTTAGTTCGATTTTCAGGCTTCTCACACGGCCAGGGTCGCACGGCCGTGTGTGACTTCCATCTTCCAGTGTTTGCTCTCGGCGAAAGTCACACGGCCAAGCCACTTCTTCACACGGCCGTGTGTGTTGTCAGGGCAGGCCGTGTTTGCTCTCGCACAATCTCACACGGCCAGAAATATGAGTTGCACGGCCTTGTGATTTGTGGGTGTGCCCGTGTGGCCTCCTTTGTGACTTGCCTCGCGCCCGATCTTCGTCCAATCGACCCCAAACTCGCTCCCAAGCCTCCATTCATGTACTAGGACCTGAAATATCACAAACAAGCACAACCTACGTGAAATCGGCTTAAAACACGAGAAATCACATCTCAAACAGTGTGAGAACAGGGGTAAAATCATGTGTAATTAACGGTCTATCACTCCAATATTTGGAATTTCCCTTAAAATTTGGAGAGGTCTGCCTCCAAAATTTATCGCAACGAAAATTTAAAATATTAAAATTTTCCTCTTAGTTATTGGCTGGTAAATATGAAATTGAATTGTACGTTTCCAATTTTAAAAACAATACAAAATATTAGAAGCTCCCTCCAATATTTCTATTTTCTATACTTTCCCTAAAAAATTGGACTGCCATGCCGCCTGAAATTATCACAAACTAAAATTAAAATAGTAAAAGTTTGCTAATAGTTATTGGCGGTTAATGAGGGAATTGAAGTGTACTTTTCATCCATTGAAAACAATAAATTGTATTTTTGGTATTACAAAATTTTTGTTGGACCTGACCAAAATTTCTTCATAATCAAGGACCAAAGTCGAATCGTTATAACTTTGATTCGGTTTGGATCAAACCATATGTGTCTTGATTCGGTCTGGACCATCCCATTGGACTGACTAATCTTTCATTCGAATAAAATAACTCTTAAAGGACAACACAAGAATTAAAAACATGTAACTACACGAAAAGAAATAATAAAATTATCCCAACTTAAATACTCCACAATTCTTAAAAACCACATGTTCCTTTATATTATGCATAAAGCTAAACGAGAACTACGGGTAATTAGCATAAATGGCCACAAACCTTTGCACTTAGTACAAAGCAGTCACAAACCTTTAATTTGTAACCATTTGATAACAAAACTTTTTTACTTAGAACAAAACGGTCACAAATTAAACAGTGTGACCATTTCATACCAGTTCAAACTTTTGTTACCGTGTCGTTGCAAATTAGACTTTTGGTGACCGTTTTGTACAAATTAAGTTCAAAAGTTTGAACGCTCAATCACCGTTACAATTCACTCTAGTTGTATGGTGGTTTTGTTAATGTATGTGAATGATATTATGTTGTTTAGGATGACAATGAGAGAACTCAATGGCTCACAAACGGGTTCCAGACAGCTTTTAAGTTGAAAAAACTATGTCTACTTCCATACTTTCTTGGTATCAAATTGAAAGGTCAACTGAGGGCATTCTTAATCGGCAAAGCAAATATGTCGACGAACACATGACCTGACATCTTATATGTCGTTCAAGTGGTTAGTGTCATATACTTAACGAACAAACTACCCGACCTCAAAACATGACCAACATTTAATTTGTAACGATTCGGTAACAAACCGATAATTGTAAATGTTATATACGAAATTAATTTCATATTTTAATATGATAAATTTTATTTGTGGTGAATTGAAAAAAGTAATAACCATCCATTCTCTAATTTTTCATTACAAAAATGTGTAAAAAAAAGTGTCCTAATGGTAGCGGCAAAATGCAACGTAAACAGAAAATCAAAATTGTTAAAATTTGGTTTTTACCTTCTCAGAATAGCGTTTTTTTCGCCAAAAATTTGCGTGTCTTTTGAACAAGATCTGGTTCGTCCCCCAGAAACGTTTCCTTCATTCTGACCCCCCCCATTCTCATTCTATCTTGCATGTCGTCAATCTGAGTGAGAGAGAGAGAGAGAGAGGCGATGGCGGTTCCGCGTTTCTGCCGACGAGTAGATAGAAAGAGAGAGTTGACGATTCCAATCATTCCATCGACTGGCGACGGCGGTTCCGCGTAGCTGCCGACGATTAGAGAGAGAGAGAGAGAGAGAGAGAGAGTCGACGATTCCATCTATTGGCGACAGCGGTTCCGCGTAGCTGCCGACGAGTTGCTCGGTTAATGAGACCTTGTGGATTTGGGGTTGTTCCTCTGGGTTGTGTTAGGCGAAGATGCTCCAACTGGAAGATAAGAGTTAGTGAAATCTCGGTTTTCCTTCTCCTTTTCCTTCCCCAAATTTTTGGTTTTCATTTTCGGTTCTTTGATTTCCTCTTTGTTTGGCACGAGATGCATACAAAAAAAATTTGGATTGGTAAGAGCGGAAGCTATGGTCCCATTCCCTCGGATTAAAAAGGCCCCCTAAGAAACGATTGCAGGTAGTTGCTATGCAATTTTTCTTTTCGTTTCTTTGAGTTCCTTTTAAAATCAGGACATGACTGGACACTCCCCAATTACTGACTCCAAACTTTGGGTTTCTGACCTCGTTTCTTTTATTTGGTTTTGTTTTCATCTTGATTTGAGGCTTGCGAATCGGGGGAGGAGGAAGAACTTGAAGGAACTTCGAGGAGATAAGGTGCTTCGAGGAGGCCATGAATGGGAGCAGCACAAGCAGGGTACTGGGCATCGAAAACAGGTATCTAAGCTTTGAGTGTTTGTTGACAGATCTGGCCTTTGTTGATAGATCGGTTCTAAACAGAACATAAAAGTCCTCTAAATAGAACATAGTCCTTCACATCAAGCTAATGAGTGCATTGTTTAATTATACCGGGTTGTTTAACTGAGTTTAGTATGAGCTCATGTTGTGAACTGTTTCTCTTGTCTGGACAATTGCATTTAGCTTCCTAGGTCATGTTGAATGCTCTACATAGTTTCAGATAGTAACTTGAGCAATGGTTGCTTAACTTCAGATTCAATCAATAGTAGATGATGGATGAATATGGAATTGGGTTTTGTAGTATAGACCAAACACCTCCAATATTTCGATTGTGTTGCTAGAACGTTTGGATTTTGTTTTCTATATTTCCAAAGAACATTTTCTTAATTGTTGATTTTGCATTAGGCTGTTGATCATACATTGGAGTACAGAAGAAGCTCCTGCACCTGATTGTAGCTTGAGAAGAGTACATGCAGCATATGAATTTTGGTTCACAGCTAGGAATGTCTTCTTTGCAACTTAGTCGAGATGCCTCTGCTGCCGTGAGTAATTTTTCTTGTTTCTTTGCTATCTGTTTCCTTTTCCAGTCTCTTCCTGAACTAGCAACCCTTGTGCTATCCGTTTGAGTCATGCAAATTTCGTCTGCATTTTCATCAGGGAGCAGCACGTGGTGTTACCAAACAAAATACGGATTTGGAGATTGAGTCAGTTGAGGCCTCAAGGAAATCTGAAGTGGACAAATTGAAAAAGCACTTCAGAGTGGAGGTAAATTACTCATTTCCAATGTCACAGTTACAATTTTAGGCGGCTTTACTAGTTAGACACATGAATGGTTTTCCATATATTTGGCTTCAACATCTGATTCAAAGAACTACATGTTCTTATGTTGTCAGTTTATGGAGGAGCAACCCGTGAGGCATTAGTTAGCCAGGTCTGCTTCACACACAAAAAAACAAAACAAAACAAAGAAGAAAAGCCAGGTATGTCCTTTCAATTGCAAACAGTTCATTTGTCCTACAAAAATATGAAGTGTCGATGGAGTTTACTTTTGTGAAATATACCAAGCTAAAAGATTTTGTCCCCTAAAATCAATAATGAAATTGTAAACTCAATAAAAAGTGGTCATTGCTTTCCATGGGCGTTTCAACTTCTTGCTATGGAAGTGCTAGTGAACTTCATTTGTTTTTCTTGATGCTTCTGTTCTTTGCATCACGGGTTCTAGTCTGATGTTGTTTCTGTAGCAGACCAAAATAAGAAAAAATAATATTAAAGATGTAACTTCCAACACAAAGAATCATCTAATCTTGCCGGTTAAATAAAAACATGATTGGAAAAGTACCAGTTGATGTTCATTGCCTGGACTATCATCATGCCGACTAGTACTACCAGCATTATGTCATGTATGCTTCTTAGCTCCCTTCTCTGCTCCCTTCTCTTGTTGACTAGTATTGCTCCTAGTACGTGCCCCCGATCTGTTAGAGGGCTAATAAACTCTTAAGCTAATAGCCATTTCTAACAAATCGATAATTTTAGTGAATAAACAAATGATATATAACCTTCTGTTGTGGCTGACGTTTTCCTATGGGCTCTCCAGTAGTATTATGCCTGCTCATTTGTTGCTTATGGTAAAAACAAAATAACAACTGTAGGTTATTAACACTAATAACTATATCAAGAACACCTAACCAGAGTTGCTAATTACCTTTGGGGGCTGACCACCTTGGTCATCATCTCCATCATCGTCGTCTCCATCTTCTCCGTCGTCCCCATCATCGTCCCCATCATCATCCCCATCATCGTCCTCATCATCGTCCATGTCATCGTCGTCATCCTCCTCATCAGATTGAGACTCTACCACGTCGACTGGGGGATTAGTACAAGTGCTCCTATAATGCCCATTCCTTAGCCCGCAGTTCCCACACTTTCTTCCTTTTTTCTTAAGTTTTTTTTCCTTTTCCTTTTCTACAGCCCTTAAACCTCACTTGATTTGGGTTCAAAACATCTTTGAACTTGTCAATCCTTTCTCTCTCGGCGGGGGTTTTCTTTACCATCTCCAACTTGTTACACGCTGCTGTCAACTCATCTTGAGCCATTCGATAAGAGAGAGGAGTGTCTGCTCCTAATAAGCAGAATCGTTGAGACATGAACTGTAGTGACCCGTACCTAATGCTGAAACAGCTGTCATCCCCCAATGTACTTGGTTCTGGCAGAGTGTCTAGGGACTTTGGGTTCTTCGAGCAACGTCTGAGTACCAATTTTTCAGGAATAGTCTTCACTTTTTCTTCTTTGAGAACAATTAGAATATGAACGCAAGGTATCCCAATACTCTTAAACTTTTGACCACTACACTCCATATCGCTTGTTTCAATGTTGTATTTCACCTCTATGACCTTCTCTTTGTTGAACATGGTAACAGTGTAAGTGTGTAGGTTCCCCTCTTCAGTTTGGTTACCCTTAATGACTCCAATAACCTCCTCAAACTCATTTTTTAACAAAAGAAATGCAGCCTTTGAGAAAAGCTTTGCTGCACTTTGCTCGAGGGGCTTTAGGATTGAATTCTTTATAGGAACTACACCATAATTAGACTCAAAATCTAATCTAATCTCTGTCTCTCTCATTTCCCTGAGCCACCGGTCGTATTGAGTGAAAAAGTCAAGCAAACATAACCTCTCATTTTCATACCTTGCAACAACCGCATTTATGCTTTCACATCTTGATGTGGTTGTCAACCTAGCAAAGAAATGTGAGCGCAAGTATGTGTCCGCCCATTCGTTGCGTCTCCCAAATAGTTTTTTCGACACCCATTGGTTGTTCTGGAGTTCGCTTTCCTTTACCAATGCATTCCATTTCTCCTCAATTTCTTCTGGCTCGTACTCAACAGTTACTAACTTCTTCCATCGGGGTTCAAAGTCGGGTCGATTATTCACCCAGCCAGTGATATTCTTGGACAAATGCCATGCACATAGTCGATGTGTTGCATTTGGAAACACATGAGCAATAGCTTTCCTCATGGCTTTATCCCCATCCGTGACAACTGTACGTAGCGGAATGTCCCCCAACATTTCCTTCACTATCTTCTGTTAAAAGTGATAACTTTGGGTATCATTTTGTAATATATGTATATATAACTTTGGGTATCATTTTGTGTTAGTCGTGTTCAGTGTTCATTTGATTATTGATTTGCTTCACAATTGACATGGTATCAGAGCCTCTTCTCAATTGTGTGGTTTAGTTGGATATCTTGGTGTCCGCTGCTCTCTCGACTTCTGCAGTGGTTCACGTGGATTTTCGCTTTACTGTAGCTGCTTCTCGGGTTCCCGCAGCTGGCTTTTTGGGTTCGTGTCTCGCGCCTACTCTCTGGTAATTCCTTGGTTAAGTTTACCCGCCGTCCGACTCCTGATTTCTCAGTCTCAGCTGGCTGTCCGTTTTCTTTTTCTGGTGATTTGCGGCTGGCTGCGTGTGATTATTGCCAACCTGCCTGATACATAATTCCTTGGTCCTGGTTTCGTTGTCTTTTTGTGGTGGATTTAGGCTAGCTACGTGTGGGAATTGCAAATTGCCTAGTGGGTTCCTTTTTGTTTTCATTGATTATCATGGAAGGTACAAAGATGGATGTTCCATCGGTTCGGTTCACAGGGAAGAATTTCCCACTTTGGGAATTGCAGTGTCGTGTCTTTGTTCAGGGGCGTAGGTTGCTACCTATTCTCGACGGCACCTCTCCTGAGCCCGGGGTGGATGCGTCCGCTAAGAAAAAAGTTGATTGGGCAATTGAGAATGCCCAGGTTATGTTCTGGATTTTATCGTCAGTTGATCCGGCGATTGCTCTCAGTCTCCGTGCTTTTCCGACTCCTCACGCTATGTGGAAGCACTTACATGCTGTCAATTCTCAAGCTGATGTCTCGCGGAAGTTTGAGCTTGAGACCGCGATTGCCTCTCTACAGCAGGGGGATCTTGATATTCGTTCCTACTATCAGGCTGCTCTCAATCTCTGGACTGAGCAGGATATGCTAACCACGTCACTGGTCTCTACTGAGGTCTCGGTGGAAGTCCTCAAGGATCGGGCGAGTTCTCGACTGATGGGATTTCTTATGCGCCTTAATCCTGCCTTTGCGGGGGTTCGTTCCTCTCTTCTCCACCGTAATGTGGGGTCGCTCGAGGAGGTCCTTGGAGAGTTGATTCGTGAGGAGACTCGTCTTCGTACTCAAGCTCGCCTTGATGTTCACTCTTCGGATTCTGGTACGGTATTTGCAGTTCAGGCTGGGCGTCCTCAGTTTGGTCGCACACCATCTGGGGTGATTATATGTTATCATTGTAAGGAGCCGGGACATGTTCAGCTTCATTGTCCTAAGCGCATTGTGTGCAACTACTTCAAGGCAGCAGGCCACGTCATTGGTGACTGCCCGATACTTGTCCAGCGTGGCCGGGGTCGTGGTAACCGTTCGGGTTACTCTCAGTCGACTGGTGGTTCACATCCCACCGCCCCTCGTGCTCCCCCGGGTGCGGTTTATGTCACTACACAGGCTGCGCCATCTTCTGCCTCTGGTAGCTCATCAAGCTCTGCTGGGGTGTCTTCTGAGGAGATTCGCCATCTTGTTCGTGAAGCTCTTCAGAAATCTCTACCTTCTGCTCTGACTGCTGCCTTTTCTACTGGTATGGTATCTTCATCTTCTACTCCGTGGCACCTTGATTCTGCTGCCGTGAATCATATGTCTAGTGATAGGTCAATTTTTATTTCTCTTCGCCCGCATACTGTATTTCTCTGCAGGTAGCTGATGGTTCCCATATGGCTATTGTTGGTATGGGTAATGTAAACAGTGATCAGTTGTCTCTTTCTCGAGCCTTCTATGTTCCTAAACTCCTTCCCAACTTGGTTTCTGTGGGTCAGTTAGCTGATGATGGATGTCGTATTGTCTTTGATGCTCATGGATGCGCTGTGCAGGACATGAGGACGGGGGTGGTGATAGGCAAAGGGAGTAAAAGAGGTCGGATTTATCTACTTGATAGCCTTGGACGTCAGGAGGGAGATCGGGGTGGCACCTCAGTCAGGACTGCAGCCTGGGATTCGCCTGCTGGTGGTGCTATCAAGGAGATACACGATTCTGCAGCTATTGATTCTTGTTTTTCTGCTACTTTAGACACGACTGGTTATTCTGTAAAATTGTCAGATTGGGATTTGTGGCATTTTCGGCTGGGCCACCCTCATAAATCGAGACTTTTTTTATATGTTTAAGAAAAATTGGTTGTCAGGTTCCATTCGGTCTATTCCTGATCATGAGTGTGTCCACTGTGTGGAAGCTAAGATCTCTCAGCGCTCCTTTACTGCAAGCTCGACTAAGTATGATGAACCATTTGATCTTGTTCACACCGATCTGTAGGGGCCTTCCCCTGTACCATCGCGGCTTGGATTTTGCTACTTTGCTCTGTTTATTGATCATGTGACACGGTTTACATGGGTTTACTTTCTTAAGAAGAAGTCTGAGCTCTTTGAGGTGGCTCGGGACTTTATTCAGATGGTTTCGACCCAATTTGGTAAAGTTATCAAAATTTTGCGTTCTGATCCTGGTGGGGAGTTCTCATCGCATCCATTGCAGGATCTCTTTCGTCAGAAGGGCATACTCCCTCAACAGTCTTGTCCGGGAGTGTCTCAGCAGAATGGGTTAGTCGAGCGCAAAAATCGCCATGTTTTGGAGTTGACTAGAGCCTTGTTGTTTCATTCGTATGTGCCCACTAGCTTTTGGGTTGAGGCTGTTCATATAGTGGTATACCTCATCAATCGTCAAATCACCCCGGTTCTTAACCAATGC